AGGGAGTCTCAGGGATTGTTGATCTTGATGTGTCACCTAGCACTTTTTGGATGGCAAGGGATTGGACACGCTTACTGAAGTAAAAGAAATTAATATTTTTAAATGGTAGAAATAAATTATTACTTGCAGGAGGCAAATTAAGAGTGGGTTTGGACCTAGAAGTGCCAGAGGCTCACACTCTCACAGTGTGACCTGGACCCTCTCCAACCTGCCATCCTGCTAAGTGTTCTGGACATTCACAGGCACAGTCTCTCTCACTGCATCTGGGGCCTCTAGCAACTCTGGGCTGATACCCACTCATCATCTAGTCTACTGGGAAGCATTTCTCCTTCCCTTGAGTCCCAAGGAAAGTCACAGCTTTAAGTCTTTGGTCTTGGGACACATTCTTATCCTTGAAACCATCTGAGCACCTAGAAGATGGAGCATGGTATTGGCTAGACTTGGATCATACACCCACCTTCAAGGTGGGGGAATGTGGGGTCTAAACTCTGGAACTCTTTGGATGGGAGGTAGATGATATTATTGCTCAGTGAATCGGTGGGAGGCTCAAGGATTATTCCACAGCCCAAAATCCACACTTGGCATGCTTTCTAAAGGTCACAGTCCTTGGATCATGCACATGGCTCTCCAAGAACACGCAGTCTCAGTGAGAAACTGCCCGCTGGGAACACAGTTGTTCCTGTATTCTTGATTCTTAATGAATGTGCATGTCAAAGCTCACACTATAACTGGGAGGCCAAACGCTTGCAGAGCCAGTCTGCTGTATGGCTGTTGTGGCCAGGGCCACATTCAATGTTTGGAGAGTAAGAGGCTGTGAGGGAGCAGGCATTTGTCTCCACCACAGAGGCTGAATGAGAATGAATGGAGACATCCAGAGAGGCTGTCTATGTGGCCCATGAACCATTAAACTGACCAGTAATTGGCCACAAGGGTTGTCAAGACCCAGGCTGGCCTGAGCAGGACCACGGATGCCTGCCTGGATGGTTGGAGGCCAAGGGCTGTCCGATCTGAGACCTGACTATCTATTTTCTGATCACTCAGCTAGGACGAAGGATCCAGATGGTGCCAGGAGAGCACCACCAGCCCACGAGAAGTCTGCCCATGGTAGGCTTTCTGGTAGCTGGTAAGCCACTGCACCCAGTCCTGTATAAAGTCACGTGCATCTGGGGCGCCTGGGTGGCTCAGTGGGTTATGCCTCTGCCTTAGGCTCAGGTCATGATCTCAGGGTCCTGGGATGGAGCCCTGCGTCAGGCTCTCTGCTCAGCGGGGAGCCTCCTTCCCACTCCCCATCTGCCTGCCTCTCTGCCTACTTATAATCTCTGTGTCAAATAAATAAATAAAATCTTTAAAAAAAAAAAAAAAAAGTCACACGAATCTACTCTATGCCCCCAAGGGTCAGGTCTTTGCTGGAAACTTAGGCTGCCCAGGCAGAACCCCTCCCAGATGGGAGGATGGAAGGACTGTCCACAATCTTGAGGCCTTCCAAAATCCTCAACTGGGGTTGAGTTGAATTTGAAACAGTGACCAGGCAGATATTTCACTCTTCTATTACAGTCCAACACTGAGGGGCAAAAAACCTATAGCCCAGCTCAATCCCTAATGTGTATGTGATCATGGGTGTTTCCTGTCCATCCTAGAGGCCCAGAGAGTCAGATGAGATAGAGGATAGGCAATAGGGCCATTACACTAAAACCAGACCCTGACCCAGACCCTGACCCAGGTCCTGACACTGACACTGACTCTGAGCCAGACCCTGAACCTGGTCCCAAGCCTGCCCCTGGACCCAACCCATGACCCTGACCCTAGACCTTGATCCCCAACACCAACCATGGCCCTGACCCTTCCCCTACCCCCAACCCTGACTTTACCCTAAACCCTAAACTGGACCCTGACCTGCCCTCTAGCATGTTTTATTTTCCAATCACACCGACATTATCTTTGGCTAAGTGGAAAGGAGATGGCAGTTCTCTGGGTCTCTCATTTCTCCAAGCCACTACTGATGGATTTGATAATTTATACCAGTAAGTTCTCAAACACTTTGTAATTTTTACTGCATCCCGTATTAGAGAATAATGTAACACTAGGAGGTTGAGTCTGGGACCCATGATCACAGAGTGAGTACAAAATGTGAACTAAGATCCTCCTCAATTCTCATCATATGGAGAATGATCAAGGTCTCTGGGCTTCAAGCTCAAGGGGTAAGTGGTATTCCCACTGCTTATCACAAATATATGGATGTGAACACAGGTATGACTGTTTTTAAATACATAGTTTATTTTTCCAACTGTTGCATATCATGAATGATCCTTAACAGAATTTTGTGTGCACAGTATAAATATTCCCGTCTTCTTAAAATTGAGGATTAGGGATTGATGTGTTCTTGAATGTAGTTTGCATCAAAAATACTTCACTATGGTTCTCACTGTAATTGTTTTATATTTTTCAATCAGACCTAACCTTCCTTACACCACGAGACCTCTCTTCAGCACACCTGCACCTGAGGAACATCCAAATTAATAGTGCTGGGGAGGACGTTTTCTGGAATAATAACGGAAAATCCAGGGCATAATATGTCATTCTAAACTATGGGAACTTTCCTTTTGGATTAGAATTTTCAGTGGAAGAGGAACACTTTGTCCTCAGTCCCCACGGAATCATGGAGCCACCCAGAAGACAGAGTGGGCCACTGGGTCACTGAGATTAATTACAAATCTACTGTTGGATGTATTTTTGCACAGATCTCAGAACAGAGCTCTGACATAAAAATAATCATGCTCCCTCACTTGAACATTCTGAAATGCCAACATAATAAGTTATCTGTATAATTATAGTTATTCATTAATAATTAAACACGATCTCAAAAAAGCTGTATTCAAATATATGACAGATCATGTCCTAATAGACTAGGACTTTTTATCAATTACTTAAATGTAAGCACTGAAACATGAAATACTCTGTAGTGGTAGCATGAGCCTAGGGAATTTAGCAAGGTAATACAGGGTTCATGAACTTCATATGACATTTCAAGTGTTAATTATGACATTTACCTATTGCTCGGCATTGACTTTTTTTTTAACTTTATTTATTTAAATAAATAAATTTAATTTAAATTTAATTTAAATTTAAATTTATTTATTTATTTGACAGACAGAGATCACAGCAGGCAGAGAGTCAGGCAGAGAGGAGGGGCAGGGAGCAGGCTCCCTGCTGAGTAGAGAGCCCGATGCGGGGCTCGATCCCAGGACCAAGATCATGACCTGAGCCGAAGGCAGAGGCTTAACCCACTGAGCCACCCAGGAGCCCCTGTTTTTCTTTTTTTAAAGACTTTTTATTATTTGAGAGAGAGAGAGAGAGCGTGCACACCAGGGAGCAGGGGCCGACCCCCCACTGAGCATGGAGTCCGATCCAGGGCTTGACCCTAAGACCCCAACATCATGACCTGAACTGAAATCAGATGCTTAATCCAGTGAACCACCCAGGGACCCCACAATTTTTCTTCTTTACTAATCTTCCCAAACACAGGATCTGATTTCATTAACTACTCTCTCAAAATATAAAGTGAGGGTGACTCTTGCAGGTACTCTAAAAAGCTACAAATCTTTAGTCGAAAAAACATTAAATCTGTTCACTATTAGATATTGTAACTACTGTGAATATCCCTCAAATCTACAGCAAAATATCTCTTATTATTGCTCGGACTCCCTACTCTGTATGCAGACAGAACTGGGTCCCAGGACTCAAGAAAATCTCTCTGAAGCCTGCCTTTAATGAAAGCTCTGCTAGTTCACGGGGGCAGGTGTCCAACCAGTCAGGCACCTGCAGCAGCATCTCTCTCCTATACCTTCTCCCTCCCAGTCTCCCAGGGGAGAGTCATGTAACTACAGGCAGGGTTTCATTATTCAGCCATCATTTATTCATACATTTAGTTAATTCATTTATTAATTCCATTGCTGAAACTTAGTCATTCCACTATGTAATCAGTAAACTACCCATTTGCCTTGGAATCTCCTCACCACCTACCTTGCCTGGTTAATTCCTACTCATTCACTTCCCATCTTGAAAATGTTACTGCACTTGAACAAAATTTGCCTCGCTGATTTAGCAAATCCAATGAGGCTACCAAAACTGTTTTGCAGGGCGCTGAGGTCTCAGAAATGGGAAGACTCAACAGGAGGAAGAGACCTAGGAGCTGTCTAGCTACTGAAAAATATGCTGAGACTTAAGAGAAGCTGTGGATTCTTTAAATTACAGTTTTCAAACATGTCTGTTTTGTGTATCAAGTGATTGGAAGCTCAGAGAAGCATCAAGAGGGTTAGATAAACAGGTTTAAGGCTTAGTAAGCCTCCAGGACAATGTCCAAATCACACTACAGAATTGGCCTCCAAAATGTACGGGAAGTTGGTGCCACCCCAAAATCCCTATCAATGGCATTGTTCAGAGACAACAAGGGGACGAGGACAATACCACACTGCTGTTGGGAATAAATTGAGGGGAAACTGCCATCTTATGGCAAAATTTACTAACTAAAGTTGACAAAATAGTTTTCTTATTAGGACTTATATTGTTTAAACTTACAGTAGAAATTCACCTGGGGAATAAGAAATTAATGAATACTGACCCAGTGAAAATAAAGGTAAACGTATTTTAAACTTAGGAGGATCTGCCACTGGTGATTTGGCTTTTCTTCTTTTTTGACATAAAAGGAAATTTTTTTTTAAGATTTTATTTATTTATTTGACAGACAAAGATCACAAGTAGGCAGAGAGAGAGGGGGAAGCAGGCTCGCAGGGAGCCCGATGTGGGGCTCAATCCCAGGACCCTGAGATCATGACCTGAGCCAAAGACAGAGGCTTTAACCACTGAGCCACCCAGGGGCCCCAAAAGGAAATTCTTCAAATATAGTGGAAAGAATGGTGTGATGAATGCCACATACACATCAGATTTAATAATTAGCCATATTTGCTTTACATTTTTGTATTGTAAAATATAATAAATTACAAACAACACTGCACACCTAAATATTTCAGTATGCACTTCTACAAATACCAGCACAATTTTCCACAGAACCACAATACCATTGCTGAACCTAATAAAATCAACAATTCGCACAGATCGTCAGTGTTCAGTTACGAGGGATTTTCCAAAAACCAATTAATGTCAGAAGGCATACCGAAGACACAACCAGGAGAAATATTTGCAAGTCGTAAGAATCTACTATAATTTCCCCATGAAAGACAAAATACCTCCCTTGTACACTGAAGAGGAATAAAGGAAATATTTTTTCCCACAAAATTATCAGGGAACAGGCAACGTAAACCCAAAATTATGCATGAAGGACCTTCCCTAAGCTGTGTGGAGAAATATGTCCATGTTCCAACATGACTGTGTCTTGTTAGTGGAAATGTGTAAGAATTACCAAACCTGACACACTACATCTCTGCTTTCTCATCGATGCAGACAGACCACTGCATAAAGTGTGCAAACTATGCAAATCACTATGCAAACAGGAAGAGAGACTGCCAACACCACCCCCCCCAACAAAAGCTGTGATCTTTCTGGTTTTTGACTGGGGGGTGGGGGGTTGTGAAGCTCTGAGTGGAGGTCAACAACCAATCTCTCAGCTCCAACCTCCTCATCTCCCGCACCCAGTGCCTCCTCTGCTCCTTACTCTTCACTGGCCCCCAACACGGCTACCTGCATCCTCTGGCAGTCCACATTTCATGTGTGTTTACCACAGGCCTTTCCATTATTTCGACCAAAACCATCACTGTGGTCATGGCTTTCAGGTTCAACACACCTGGAAGGAAAGTGAGGTATGGATCAGTGTCACAAAGCCTCTAATCCTGGCATTCCCTGAGGCAAGTAAATTTCATCTGGCTAGGAAGGTCTCCGGGCTTCACCGACACAGATATACACTGAGTCGAGATATACAATCTTTTACAAAATTCTGTAAATCTCCCCTTACCAGATGTGCAGTAATCTCATTTTACAATCTATTTCATGAACCACTATTCTGTCACCAGGCTTTATTTCACTTTCCTATTTTCCTCAATTACAAGTCTTTCTCACCGTCCAGGATCAAACGGGTTTTTCTAGTTTTTTCCCAGCATTCCTAAAGGTTAGTTTACAGCTTTATATCTTTTACTCCTCTGGGATTCATTATCCAGAATTGTAAGAAACTAGCATTCCTTTCTTTTTTAATTACCAAACATATAATACATCATTAGTTTTTGATGTAATGTTCAGTGATTCATTCGCTGCATACAACACCAAGTACTCATGACCGCATGTGTTCTCCTTAATGTCCATCACCCGGTTACCCCATCCCCCCACCACCTCCCTTTCCATAACCCTCAGTTTGTTTCCCAGAGCCAAGAGTCTCTCATGGTTTGCCTCCCTTTCTAAGTAAAACAATAGGGAACTGGCTGAGTGTCACCTGTTTCTGAAGCTCCCCATGTGGGATGCCCACTGACCAGAGGTGGAGGGAACAGCTAAGCCAAGGACTGGAAGGGCAGGACTAGAGTTTCAGGCCAGGGGGCCCAGCTTTTGGTGAGTCCCACAGAGGCACAGCAAGGAGGCAAACTAGGCTGGGAGCTTCCTGGGATCCGATACCTGTGGCATGTGCGGTTGCATGTGGGCATTAAAGGGGCTTCCAAAACCTTGGGGGATGTGGGTGTATCCTGTCCAAGCACCCAGAAGGTAGGTGATACACCTCCATTTTTCAGGAGGCAATGGGACTCAAATTAGGGGGGGAACCCCCAGCTGCTGAAAATATAGTCCTTAGAACACGCCATGGGGAACCAAGCAAGTGCTGATAAAAGTTTGTAGAACAGGAGCGCCTGGGTGGCTCCGTCAGTGGAGCATCTGTGTTTGGCTTGGGCATGATCCCAGGGTCCCGAGATCCAGTGGGACTCCCTGCTCAGCAGATCTGCTTCTCCCTCTCCCTCTGCCCCTCCCCTTGCCTGTGCCCTGTCAAATAAATAAAGCCTTTTTTAAAAAGTGCATAGGGGCACCTGGGTGGCTCAATCATTAAGCCTCTGCCTTCGGCTCAGGTCATGATCCCAGCATCCTGGGATGGAGCCCCACGTCAAGCTCCCTACTCAGCAGGGAGCCTGCTTCTCCCTCTCCCACTCACCGGGCTTGTGTTCCCTCTCCCTCTGTGTCTCTCTCCGTCAAATAAATAAATAAGGTCTTTAGGGATAAGAAAAAAAAAAGTGCGTAGAACAAATGATCATCATCCAGACATATGGCTGTAGCCACAGGAAGGCCATTAGGAAGAACCAAACATGAGCTGCAGAGCCAGGGAGCTGGTGTTGAGACCCCACACAGCAGGCCTGCAACACAGCCCAGAACACCGAGGCCTGAGAGGGTGCAGGTAGGTCAGGGCCTCCAGCTAACCTCACCTAGCACCACCTACACCCACCCTATTTATAGACGGGTGAACCGTGGCCACAGTCAGAGGTCTGACTTAGCTGTGGGTGCCTAACATGCAAGCCATGGATGAAACACCACCAGGAACACAGCTGGGTACATGCTGAAGGAGCATCCTCAGTAGAAAAATGACCTAAGAGGGAAAGCAGAGTTGATGGCCCAGAGGCTAAATAGTGCCCTCCCCTCTTAAGATGATGCCGGTTTCCCAGTCTCCACACACCATGTTCCCCAGAGTCCCAGCCCTGCTACAAGTGGACTTTTAGTGAACATCATATCAGGACTGAAGCCTTGAGGCAGAATGGAGTTGGTTATCTCGGGAGCAGACAAGAAGCCAGCACAGTGGGAACAAGAAAGGGGGACCACTTCAGAGGGGTGGTCAGGAGGCTAAAATGTGCACATGCCCTAAGCGGCACCTTGTCCACCAGCCTTCACATTGTATCATGGGTACAATGAAGTCACTAGGTCAGAAAAATAGGACCCAATGTACATGGAGGACCACTGGCCGCACTGAACACGCAAGAGGCACGTATTGACACTAACTCCCAGAGGCTCACACGGCAGCCAGGGCAAGAGCCGGGGCCAGGGTTAGAATGCCAAACAATGAAGAGAAAGCACAAAAGATTAGAGATTTAGTTTGAAGACTGAACTCACATTCCAGCTAAAGTATTGAACACTTGTGTAGAAGAAGGAAAGCAAGAAAGGATGACACAGGTTTTTGGCTTCATCAACTAGGTGGGCAGCAGGACCATTCACTCAAAAGCAGAAGACGAAGGGAGATCAAATGTTTAGACTTGTCAAGTCGGAAGTACCCGTGAAACATCAAAGTAGAAATGATGGTAGGCAGCTGGGCTCCAGGCATCTTATCTAGTCTGGGATGCAAGCTTGGGAGATACCAGCAAAGATGGCATCACAACCACTGAGGGGGACTAAGCCACCCAATTCAAAGCAACAGAGGTCCTGGGACGAGGACTTGGAGCAGCCAAGGTCTGGAGAGGTCATGTACTGATGCTCAACCCTGGTCTTTAGCCAGGACTGAGGACAAGAAGCTCTCTGCTCCTAAGAACAAAGCCTGGCCTTCTGGGAGCCACACTGGCTCCCTGAGGAGGACAGATGCTCAGGAATGATACAAAGGACAAGCACTATGGTGAGCCTGGAACCCAGCCATGCCAGACACCTCGTCTGTACTCATGTAACACACATAGTTAGCCCATGAATTCACTAATCCATTTTTACAAAAAACAGTTTTATTAGTGCAATGTGACAGTATGACATAAAGAACTACACCATTTGACAGGACACTCTTTCATAAGCAAGCACCACGATGCAGTTACACAGCTTCCTCCACGTTCCTCGCTACAAACAGCTGCTTAATCTCAACCTAAACACTGAGTGAAACATTCTACAACGTGCTGAACACTCACTTCAGGTTACTGCAGAAGCTTTTCTAAACGGACCTCCTTCCTCTGGCAGGAAGGACATTTCATCTGAAAACCTACAAATGGCTGTTGTGCTTATGTGACAGTACCCGACAGGCTGGTCTCACATCTGTCCCACAGCCAGGGCACCAGATCCCACTGACCAGCCATGGACAGACCAACCCCACGTCCCACAGAGCATTCCTGGAAAGGCTCTGTACTCCAGACAAACCCCACACTACCTGGGCAGGGGAACTGTTCTGGGATGGAAGCCAGACTAAAAAAAATTGAACCTAAACTCTTCATCAGGCGTGTCCAGGGTAGCCTTGGCTACCCCTGCCTGGCGAGGCCTGCAGACCCTTGCGTTCTTCTTCCTGGTGGCCTCACCAACAGGCTGCACCTGCGCTGCACGGGCTGCTGTGGGGGAGCAGACAGACAGTCTCAGAACGGTCCTAACAGCTAACCTCACCTGTGTCCATTCAACTCTAATCCCCTGGAATAGAAAACTAGTCATTCCTCAAAATTGTAGGGACGGTGTTATCTCAAACTCCACTTAGACACAGGGGCACCGGGTGGCTCAGTCAGTCAACTGGGTTGATTTCAGCTCAGGTCATGATCTGAGGGTCAGGAGATCCAGTCTCCCATCAGCACAGGGCTCCGCGCCGGGAGCCTGCTGAGACGCTCTCCCCCTGCCCTCCCCACCAAGCGCTCGCGCTCTCTAAAACAGCCCCAGCCTTCCCTGTGCCTGCTCTCCCAGTCGGTGTCCTCCCCCTGCCCACCCGCGCCAGCCCTGTTACTCTGGGTTTCCTCCGGTCACTCCCTGGGCTCTTCCTCCCTACCCCCTGCACGTTTCTTAAAAGGCGTCATTTATTTGACGGTGCGCACTTTCCTGCTCCTCACCCGTTCTGAGAACCCGAAGGGCCTCACGCCGCTCGGCTTCCATCTGAGCCCTGTAGTCCCCAAACAAGGAGCGCATCAGCTGCCTCTTCCGGGGCAGGGGGGTTCTTTCGCTGCGCAGGGTCCGGATTGCCCCAATGGCCTGCTCTTCTGAGGATCAAAAAAACAAATGACCAAGAACCTCTACCCTCACCTCCCGCGGTCCTGCGGCGAACAGCCGCATCCCGTGGCACCGCCCGCAGCGGCACGACCACGGCTCCCGCCCCCAGCTCTACAGAAAAGCCGCTCACTCTGTCTCGGACTCGGTCTCTGCATCTTGAGGCCCAACTCCAGCTGGTCCACGCACCACGCCAGTTCCCGGGCCAGCTGCTCCGCCTGCGATAAATGGGGGACGCGCCCATGACGCGGCAGCAGGACCCCGCGGCCGCCAGCCCCACCCCGCGCCGCCCTCCCGTCCCCTTCCCCGCGCAGCCTTGGCGCCGCAACTCCGAGAGCGCGCGCGCCCGGACGCACCGGGGTTCGCCGCCCTTGCCTGAGCCTCCGCGCTGACGGGCGCCTCCTCGGAGACCGGCTCCTCAGAGACCTTCCCGCCTCCGTTCGCCACAGACGCCCCATTCCGAGTTTTCTTCTTCGTCTGCTTCTTGGAGGCTGCGGCGCCTCCACGGCGTTCGGGGTGCGTCCCGGGGGCGGCGTCGCTGCAGGCGGAGCGCCCTAGGCGGAGACCGGCCGGCTGGGACCTGACGGCGGAAGGACGCGGGGCGTCGGGGAGCGACCCAGGCGGCCGGGGGCTGCGGGGCGCGCAGGCAGTGCGTGGGCTTTCGGCCGCTGACGTCTCCCGAGCCGGCTGTCCTAGGGCCTGGACAAAGGGGGACAGCACAAGGGTCGTGGGGGACCGCCGATGGCCCAGGACCCTGGCACCCCGCGGTCTCTCCGCACATCTCACCGCCATGCGCCGCGGTTGCCGCCGGAGATCACGTAGGGCCGGAGGTCCGACGCCGAATTCCCTCCTCCGGAAACGCGTCTGCGGCGCCGAATTCCGCCCGGCCTGGACGCGCGGTGGGCGGGGGCGGAGGGCCCAGGCTTCAGTGGGCGAGGCCGATGCTGCGGTGGGCGGGGCCGAGGCCCTGGCCGCAGAGACCCGTTGGAGAGGTCGGGCGCTACCAGGTTGCAGGCACCGCTCTGGATGGGAGGACGACGCCCTAAACAAGGGAATGCTCTGGAAGCTCCCCTAGTGGGGAGAGAAAAGCCGTCACAGAAGCGCCGAGAATAGCAGCCGAAACGGGATGGCGAGTGGTCAGCTAAGACCTCTGGTGCCAGGCCGGCGGGACCGGTTGGGGGCGGGAAGGACGCGGTGGGGCAGGGGTCGCGGTGCAAGGCGAGGTCGGAGACTTGGGCGAGATGCGGTCCTGCGGGCGCTGTGGGGTAGCCCGCTGTCCGCTGTGATGGTGAGCGCTGGGGAACAGACGTTCGTCCAAAGAGTGATGTGCGCAAGGGCCTGCTTAGCCAGAGGGAGCCGTTTTGTTGTTTAGGCAGGAAACTGAGACTGACCCTGCCCTTCCCAGAGGAACTGACTTAAAAGCAAGTCCGGGAAACCAGTCCTGGGTAGCAAAGCCCAGATAGGAGGGCGGGTCAGGCCAGGTGGAGACATCAGTGGGGGCGCATACTGTCTCCCTAGCTACCAAGGAGAGTGGGCCCCGCCTTTTGGGCGCCAGTTCTGACCAAGGTGATAGGCCAGTGCAAATATCTTCTATAGGGTAAGTTGTAATTCAGTTGGCTACCCGCGTGTGACCTAGCATGACTGTGCAGCTTTCTCTGTGTGTTACAATCTCATTGGCCGCCTGTGTGTGGCCCGGCTCAACCACGTGGCCTGTGCTCTATAAAAGTTAGTCTGTGAGGCTGGGAGGGGTTGCCTCTTTGTAAGAGACCCCCCGACCGGTGGGTTTGATTCTTGATGCTTGGCGTGAAATAAAGCTTTGCTTGACCTTTGCTTTGTATCAGTCTCACTCCTTTGATCACGGACCCATTATTGGGGGACCTATCACTGTGGTCCCACTCAGATGTATTTGAAAGATCCCTCTGCTGTTTTGGGATTAGGGTTAGGGCCAGACGGCTGGGGCGGGTGAGGCTGGGAATATTGGGGGAGGGGGTCAGAAACAGAAGGGAAGAGCATGCACACTTGCTGGTGGCTGGATGTGAGCGCCGCAGGGGAGAGGGCAGAGGGAGCCCCATCCCACAATCTGCCCAGAACAGTCGTCCTGCCATATTGCACTACAGACCAAGGTGCCTCCTCCCTGCCCCGGGCATAGGCGTCAGCGGACCTCCGCAAGAATGAGGGGCTCCAGGAGGACGGGAGTCTGAGCGCTGTCTGATGATTCAGAAATCGGGATAGAAAGTGTCGTTTCCTGAGACCATGGGTGGGAAGTGTTGCCTGCCTGTGCTGGGAGGTCTCAAAGGGGAGACAGTTGGTCATCACAGATAGCTGGTGTGCTTTTATTGCAGTGTAGCAAGTTGTCACAAAACTTAGCAGATCGACAACAGTAAAAATCTGGTACGGTTTCTGAGGATCAGGAATCTAGCAACAGGACAGCTGTTTGGTTCTAAGTTAGGGTCTCTGGTGACCCCTCTTGAAGGGAGGAATATCAAAACCTTTTAGACGTATTTTTAAACTACCACAGTTAGGATGTGTTTTAGTCCCGGCAGATGGACTGCCGGCAGTTTTGGTGGTGAGTGGGTTCCAGATCCAAAAGGGCTTTTTCCTGCCTTGTTTGGCCGGGAATCAACCTGTGAGACTTGGCCCAGAACTGCTTCTACGAGAAAGCCTTCTTAGCCCAAACATCTGTGTCTGAGCACAAGCCTCACACCAGACTGCCCTCTTCCACAGCCCTATGTGCAATCAGCCATGCAGTCCTATCAGTTTATCTAACTGGTCTCTGCCCCTTGCCATGCACACCATCTCTGCCCTGAGCAACCTCAATGCAGGCCTTGCTGATTTCTGCACTTCCTCTCCCTTGTACATCCTGTGGTGGGAGTGAGCTTTGTAAAACAAAGACTGTGTTACTCTCTTGCCTAGGAATCTTCTGTTTCCTCCATCATGAAGCCCAGACTTCATAGCTGACATGGGCAGCTCCTTGCCTGATCTTCCAGCCAGCACAAGTCCGACAAATCACACAGAAGCAACAATTTCCAGACCTCACTCTGCTCTGGTCCCACTGAGCTCCCAGCCTTCCGAGTTTCTCCTTACAGGCCCCTGCAACCCCACTACCCTCTGCCCTGCACAGACACCTCATTTTCCTTCCCTGGCAGTACTAGCACCTGTTCAAACCCCCAGGCCCAGACAGCAGGTCCCTGAAGAACTTTAGAGAGGAAGGCATAGAGGACCCAGCCTTCTTCACATCTCTCCACTGCCTCCCACCCTGGCATGTAAAAAGGACTCATAAAAGTAAGTACAAGTCCTCAGCTTCCTCTCCCTGGCTTCTCACCCCCACAACCACCCAAGAAACCACTCCTAACATGGCAGTCTCCATCACCATGGCTACTCCCTATTCTTTTTTTTTTTAATATTTTATTTATTTATTTGATAGACAGAGATTACAAGTAGTCAGAGATGGAAGCAGGGAGAGAGGAGGAAGCAGGCTCCCTGCTGAGCAGAGAGCCCGATGCAAGACTCGATCTCAGGACCCTGAGACCATGACCCCAGCCGAAGGCAGAGGCTTTAACCCACTGAGCCACCCAGGCGCCCGGCTACTCCCTATTCTTAAATAGATAATTCTCCACTAGTCTCCACTAAAACCATCTTTCCTCTGCCTACTCCCCTAGCATCTCTAGAAACTATGTTACAAATTTCATACCTGTAAATATCAATATTCATATGCAGTCACTTCTTATCATTCCAGGTAGTTCTATATAAAGTAACTGAGAACAGTGAATTTGTGAATACTGAACCATTGCTCCTGGGGGAAGTAGAGTTGAATTCTTGGGAGCCTCCAGTCACAATATTTTCATCAACCACTTGATACATCACCTTATTGTGTTTCTCTATTTAATATATATTAACATACACATCTAATATACGTTGTTGGTTTATTAACATTGACATCATGGCCAACAGCATGAGGACTAGTACCTGACTGAAGCTTATGTAGAACATGTATTTTCTCTGTAAGGCACAGCACACCTTAGGAACACTAGACAGCACCCCAGCACTATGCTTGAGAGCCATTTTAAACAGCAAAACCACCACAAAAAGCAAAAGAATGCAAAAAAGTGTAACATCGAATGCACTATAAAAAGGACACTGATGTAGGGAGTATGAGAGCAGTGTTGCCAGTTCAGCATTAGCTGGGAACATGGCAGTGGAATCACCCAGAATTTTCATTACTCTGCGCATCTCCATGAATGACTGTGAAAGCATGAGGGGAGGTTTTGGGGGTTACAAGTAAATTTTAGCAACCAGGTGAATTTGCAAATATGGAATCCACAGTAATGAAGATTAACTGTATAAATAAATATATTTGAAGGTAAAAATAAAAAATGGATGTCATTAGCACCTAGTTGGAGAAACAGAACATTATCAATGTAATTCAGGACTTCCGTGTGTGTACATTAACATAAATATGGGGATACCTGGGTGGCTCAGTCAGTTAAGCCGCTGCCTTTGGCTCAGGTCATGATCCCAGGGTCCTGGGATTGAGTCCCGCATCAGGCTTCTTGCTCAATGGGGAACCCACTTCTCCCTCTGCCTACCACTCCCCCTGCTTGTGCTCTCTCTGACAAATAAATAAATAAAACCTTTCTAAAAAATAACATAAATATGTATCTCTAAACAATACTGTTTAGTTTTGCATGTTTTGAATTTTACATACATTAAATCACCCTATATGCGTTCTTAAGCTTCTTTTTCTCAGTAAGTTTGTGAGGGTTACACGTTACTGTGTGCCATTGTAGTTCACTGTCTTCACTGGTGATAATATTCTACCGTATAAGGAAACCTAACAATAAACATTTGTTTCTTCCACTTTTTTTTTGCTATTATAAACAATGCACTGGGCATATTCTTGTATGTCACCTATGTTCAGGTATTTCTCTAAGATATATATCTAGGAGTGAAAAAGCTGAGTTATATGGTTTTTTCACTTTCATTATAGTATATTTTGATGAAAAGAAATTCTTATTTTGAACATTGATGAATGTATCAATCTTTTTATTTTCCCTTTTTGTGTCTTAAGAACCTTTTGTTAACCAAGGATCATTCAAATTTTTTGCCTGGAAGTGATTTTTCTGTCTTTTATAAAGTAGGAGTCAGTTTTGTTTTTTAAAATATGGATAATCAACTTTTCTAACCCCACTTGTGAAATTCAAGTCTGCCATGCACCTTTGTTTGAAGTTCATTTCTACATGTGCATGGATGAATTTCAGAGCTCTACACTGTGTTCCATTAGGCATTTTGAATATCCCCACACTAAGTCCACTCTGCTTAAGTGCCAGTCTTTACAGTAAGTCTGATATACAGGGACTGGACTCTCTCCACTGTTCAACAGAGTATTGGAAGTCCCAGCCTCAGCAGTCAGACAACAAAAAGAAACAAAAGGCATGCAAATCAACAGAGAAGAAGTCAGACTCCCACTCTTCACAGATGACATGATTCTCTACGTAGAAAACCCAAAAGACTCTACCAAAAAATTAATAGGACTTATACAGGAATTCAGCAAAGATGCAGGATATAAAATCAATGCACAGAAGTCAGTCATATTTCTATACATAATAATGAGGCGGAAGAAAGAGAAATCCAACAACCAATCCCATTTACAATTGTACGAAAAACCACAAGGTCCTAGGAATAAACCTAACCAACGAGGTAAAGGATCTATACTCTGAAAACTATAGAACATTTATGAAAGAAATTGAGGTAGACACAAAGAAATGGGAAAACATTCCAAGCTCATGGATTGGGATAACAAATATT